GTGGCTGGGCCAGGGCTGTGCTCGTGGCCGGTGCTGGCAGTGCTGGGAGGGAGGTTATTGGGTGGGGCTTCAGCCACCCCAGATTTCACTGTAGCCCCCCATACGTTTCCTCCCAGCACCGCTGCTACCTGCCCTGAGGGCAGCCCCCACACACCAGGAGCACAGTCCCGAGCGCAGCTCCTCAGCTTAAGCGTAGCCCCCATGCGCCAGGAAGAGCCCGGTGCAGCCCCCACCCCCCTGCGTCTGCCCCGGCCCCTGCTGCACTCCCTCCCTCACTGTGGGGACACTGATCTGCCCTCCACTCCCCTTCTCTCCCCCTCCCTTTCCACCACAACAGACTTACCAACTGCATGCTGTTCTCCAAGCTGCCGGGCTGTGCTCCTCTTTGCCTGAGTGCTGCGCTGCAGCTGCGTGCACACATGGGCGTTTATCAGCCAAATTATCACCCATATTAGGCTGATTTCCGATACAATCAATTTTCTTTATATCAGTGCCAATCTGATATAGGATCCGTGTATTGGTGCACCTCTAGTGGGTTCTGGAGTATTTAGTATGTAGTTAATACCTCTACATTGCTGTTGAATCAGACACAGATGGCCATCAAGCAACTTTTCCAGTATGTTGCAGAGCTGGCACTCAGCTGATCAGACACAGGTGATGTTTGTTGGCTTGAGAAAAACAAGCAGAAAAAATAACAGGCTGTATGACAGAGTAGGCCAGTTGTTGTACTAGCATTGAAATAGCTCTATGTTCTCTTGTAGGCTTGTGTCTACTGCTTAACATTACTCTACTGTAGGTGGGTGTTATGTTTTGATTTTCAGAATCACTGTTTTTGACCAGTCAGACAGATTGGAACGATACATTTACTCAGCCACACCTAGCCTTAACTAGCTTTAGTATATTTGGTATATTTACAATTCATTCTGTCTCTCTCTCTGATGCACATATGCATGTACATGTACATAGCTGAAACAGAGCTCATAATCTTTCCTCTTATGCACCCCATCTCTGTTCTCAATCACTGTGGACACCTTTACCACCAGCCAGGCACTGAGTCCAGTAACCTGCCTGGTGTCTTTGACTCAGATCTCTTTCCCTTTCTGGATCTTTACATCCAGACTATGTCTAAATCGTCCTGTACAGTATCTCTTACATAAGAACTTTTCCTAACCATCAAGATGCCTTGAACTCTCATCCAGGTTCCTGTGACTTTGTATCTCAGTGACTGCAACACTTTTTTCTCTAACTTTGACCAATGCAGTCTTGCCTGTGTACAGCTGTCCAGGAGGCTGTTGCCGAGATCATTCTTCCAGTCGATTGCTTTGACCATTTTACCTCTTCTCACAAATCCCTCCACTGGCTTCACCTTCTGTACTAAATTGAATATAAGCTACTAATTGTCTGCATTTTCACAGCCTTTTTCAACCTGTCATCACTCTGCTTAGTACCTCTTGGTCTTTACGAAGAAATTGACTCCTGACTTTGATTAGCTCAGAGTGCCAACCTTCATTGCTTGCTAGTTAAATTTCCAAATGAACACCTTGGTGCTTTCTTCTGTACAGACTGTCACACTTTCTCTCATTTTATATAACCCCCTTGTCTGCTGTATTATGAACAGGTTCAATGTCACTGTAGTTTTCTGTTCTCTATTCTGAATTGCAGTTTCTCTGCTAAAGTGTATGGTCTTCTCTAAAGGAAAAATGAAATAAAAGCAATTAAAGTCAGTTCACATTTATTCTGGAAAGCGTACAAATACAGCAGTATTGTTCAGCTGCTGCTTTGTGATCATTATTAATTATCTCGGATGCTTTAGGAATGTTAACATTTATCCTGGCACACAGCAATGGGGAATGGTATTCATGATCCACAGTTTCCAACCTGTGTTTGCTATGACTTTTCTCTTTTTCTGCAAAGGCTGGAAACAGACTTTACCTTTGTGCCACCATAAAAAGGCACAAAGGCCAAGCAAACAGATGTCCATGCCCCTTGCTATGCCACTAATGCCCTGAATTGTGGCCACAACAATAGCTGGTGTGAGTTTGTGCTGCTTTTTTGTGGCCGATGCCTGCATGCTTTATGGTTGGAGAACCTGGGCAGCCTGGAGCATTCTGCAGCCTCCCTGGCAAGTGCTTTTGGTGCCTCAGTAGCCCGATCTTGTGTGACCTGGGAAGTCCCATTCTGTGAAGCCCTAGGAATGCCTGCCTGGGTTCCCTCATTTGCAGATGCATGCCCTGGCAAGGATATCATGCTGCTCTGCACCAGTTCAAGGTGCACCTCAGCAAATGTGGGACCCAGGGCTCTCCTGTGTGCAGTGGTGCGCCCCAAGTCAGGTGCAGCAGTATGATACACATGCTGGGGGAATCTCCGAGGGAATCCTGGAGTATATATCTGCAAGCAGAGAACACAGGGTTACCCCTGTTACCAATTGTCCTCCAGGATAAGGCCCCTAAAACCCCTAGTGGCTGGGCCCAACCCTGTGGGACAATGAGTGATATATGTATCACTCAGTGAAGTAGATCAGTTGTGCCAGGATGTGTCCCAGCACAGCTGATCCTGTTCTAAGGAAAACATCTGTTTATAGCCAAAGAAGCATATATGTAGTGTTTTACTATGGAAGATTTAGCAAAGGTGTAACTGAATCTAGTTCTTATAGGTTTCTCTTGATACCACAGATTTCTGGACTTTCAAAGGGATGTTTTACCTTGTGTGGTTTTCAGGACATGAAACCAGGATGTATATTGATCTTTCTTTTGTTTCATTATTTTACAGAAGGAAGAGTTTCTTAGCACATCTGTCTTCTTAGATCACTGTTTATCCAGCCAATTGAGAACGATTTTGGTAAGTTACTTGCTTGTAGATTAGAAATTACAACTGATTGATTAGAAGCTGCAAAGGCAGCATTACTGGTTTTCTGTTTCATTTGGTTAATATAAAATGTATGTTTAGGATGCATTGCTGTTTTGAATTAATCCATTCTTATATAAGAGGACATATTCCTAACTCCATGCAAATTGTCTTGTGCCCTGTACAGCTACACTGAGCCAGAATGGGGGTAGATAAAGTTTCCCAGGTAGTCAGGATCTAAACTAAACAGGGCATTGTAAGCCATTGTCAACAGCATGAATGACACTGGGGAATGATAGGAAACCAGTGTAGTCCTTGGGGAACAGCTGTCATGTGTTGCATGTCATTGATGTCATTAAGCAGTCAGTCATCTGTGTTCTGTAGTAACTGAAGTCTGAGTATTTCTGAGAAATATTTAGCGGTCATGAAAGCATGGATGACAACGATGGAGCGAGAGGTTTAATCATTGTGGAATACTGGTTCCCAAACTATGATTTCTGGACTGTTGGTTCTCTGCAAAGCTGTGTGTGGTTGGTAGTCTGTGGATAGCGTCAGACTACCCTTGACCCTAATCTTATCCTTTCCCTCATTTCCCCTGCCCTTTCCCTTCTTTTCTTTAATTTAAGTTTGACAAGGGCACACATTGGTCCATGAGAAATTTTGAGGATTGGCTGTGGTCTGTTAGTCCAGAAGGCTTTGGAACCACAAGCACAGAAAATGGAAAAACAGATTTCTATGCAAAAATATCACCTGGAGACCCATCTACTATTTTAACAACACTGCCAAAAGTTTGCAATCTACCTTTATAAATAGAGGGGCAACATCTCTATGGCACCTGCACAACCTCTCTGTGTTCATCATACCTCACTTCCTTCAGGAGAAAGCTGAGGTCACTGACTATGGATTGGGTCATCCATTCAGTCCTGACTAAAACCAAGTCAGAGACCTCTACATTTTAATCTACTGACCTTGCAATGTGAATTTGACCCTGTTAGTTTCTTGAGTTGCTGGGATGAAAAAACTATAGAAATAATAATAATAATGTGGGTTGAGTGGTTGGCTTACTGCTAGAAGGGCTCCTCTTGCCTAGTCTCTCTAAACTTATTGCAACAGAACCAGAATAGTAGTTTCTCAGCCTTTTCAGTTATCATATAGTGCATGTTATCCATGTGAGGAATCTCAAGATACAGTGCAAATCTCACTTAATACCTCAAAAAGTATTCCCAGCCAGAGGGGGAAGAAATTCGATGTGTTTTTTTAAAACAAATTCTTATGATCATATTGGGGGGAAATGACTGGCCAGTCTTCCAGGTGATTCTCAAACCATTCCTCAATCTTTCCCCCAGATTAAGTCCCTGGGTGCCCTGTAAAAGCCTAAACCACAAATGATTTTGACTGGTTCTCCTCTGATTATTCCACTAAATCTCAGTGGGGAGATTAGAAAGGAGCTCAGTAATAAATGTCCCTACTGTCACCAGCATTACTAAGACAATCTGTATTCATGGACTGAAGCTCATGAAAAAAGTGGCCACAAATAGTATCTATCATATTAGTTCATCATTGTTGATGCTGTTGACTGTTAGTAGTAGTACTATTACTAGTACTGTTTCTGCTGTTGTCACTGATTGGCTGTCAATATTACCAACAATATATAATGTTCTTTGTGAACGTATAGGAACACACAGTTGTCACTTAGATTGCCTACAACCTAACGACACTCACCAAAATCATGCAGATAGAAGACTGACAGTACCAGGAATAGAATGCACAAGGCCAAATTACCACTGTTCTCTTCTAATTACTACGCTGACCACAAGACCACATTTTCTAATTCAAGGCTATCAAACATCCAGCCCATGGTGCTGCTCCATCTGGCTTGCTGGGCTACCAGTGGGCCATGGAATTTGGGAATGTGACTAGAGGTAGGCAGGGTCTGCCACATAATCAGGGGCCCCACAACCCTGGGGAACACGACTCTCAGTGGCAGGGGGCAAGCAAGGGTTGTGCTGACATGGCTCCACACACCTTGTGGCTGCTCGGACCACCACGACTTGTGCTGCATGTACTACAGCAATCTGCCTGGCCTGTGGCTCCTTGTCTATTGCTGTCATTGCTATGGTTGCTGCCACCGAAGAGCCCTGTGGTCTGATTCTAGCCTGGGCACAGGGCGTTTGACACTCTTGCTCTGTTGAATGTTTAGTCATAATTCCTGTCACATATCCAGTGCCTATGCCTGATGCTCCCAAAATTACCGTTTTCATGTTTCCAGATTTATTGGATAAAGAAAAACAATCCGAATTTCCATAGTATAGCAAACAATCTAAAGAACCGCATTCTTAGACTTCAGCAGATATCATTATCAGGCAGCCCATCGCAAATATATAGAATTGGATATTGCATATTACATACTGAGCTGGGATGCTAATGGAAAAATCTGCTCTCCAAGCACATCACTGAAATCAATCCTCTTTATAGATAACACAGAGCTTAAAACAAATCTAAGGGACAAATGGTCTAAAGCACCATGGGTAACATTGTCAAAATTGTCTACGTGACTTAAGTCACATCAGTGTTCAACTTCAGCCGTTTAGATGCTCTGAAAAATATTATTGACTCTTTTGAAATACCAAATAAACAAAAACCCACCCCAAAATATGGACTTTAGAGGACCTTGAAGGAGAAGACTAAAAAGCTATCATGTTTTATTCTGGAGCATGATTATATTAGGTGCCCAACCAAGTAAATTATTTTTAGTATGTATATAGCCTATGATTTTTTAAATAAAACGTAATCTTTGATTATTTAAAATTCAGGATATTAAAAACAATTAACTTCAAGTTTGGTTTATTATAAAATAACAACTATTACTAAGGAAAGAAAACTAAATAAATAGTTATAAATGCAAAGTATAGTGTCTGAATCTAGAATTGTACCTTTGAAACAGTTCTGGGTCCCATGAAGGCTGTTCTTAATAGACTGCAGATCTCATATTGACCTTTACTGAAGAGCAAATATTAGGCTTTAAAGTTTTTATGCTCCTTTTTTTTTAAACCAGAAAGCCTATTCAAACATCCCTTGACAAGAACACTTTGCAAGCGTACAAGCCTGCTAAGCAGGTTTAGTCTTTGCATTAGAGGTACTAGTTGAGTGGTTCTTCATATTAACACACAACATTGTGCCATGGCTGAGATCTCTTTAGTAGAATTATTGGTTCCATAAAAATACTTTGGAAGCAGTGTTTGCTATTTACCAGGGATGCTGTTGTCAAATTAACATTGTCAAAATTCCATATGGACCCACCATTGATATCCTAATGTCAGGGTGTACTTTTCAACATCTCTAACAGCTATTGGCAGATAGATTTTCAAGTTCTGTCTTCATCTTTGCATTCCAGGAATGCACTTGCTTTGGCCTTATCATCACTCAAGTAGTGTTACATTTGTTTGGCCTGGCCAGCACAACCTCTACATAAAAATAAAATGGTTTCTGAGACCATGTAACAGGCAGTTGTACCACAGTCTGGCTTTGGTTTGCTTTGAGACAGGCCAGCTATTGTGCTGAACTCCATCACTGCAATACCAGAGCTAATAGATCATAATAGTATAATATTCTCAGTGCCCCAATTATAGCTTCATTTGCTCAACTACATGATCCTCTTGCAGGAGAGGAGAGAGAGATAATTATGGTAGAAGTCACTTGCAAATATCACCGTGCACTGAACTGCAAGCTAATTTTCATACCACTCTGGTCACTAGTGTCACTGAGGAGGTGATCAGCATACTCCTAGTAGATCAGAAAACCACATGCAGACATCAGTGGCCATCTGGAGAGAGGAGAAAGAGCCAGCTGGACTCTCAGAGAATATTTTGGCAGATACTTAGGGTCCAGACAACTAAATGTTATGAGCTGCAGGCAATGGTGAAAAAACAATTCAGGGACATTGTATTTTAAGGGGTGGATGAAGATTACCATATTGTTAATATTTCATTTCTAGTTTTTCACTATGTATTTGTAACCACGTCACTCCCAAACATGTGACAGAATATTACCACATCCCCAGGCAGGTGCTAAAGCCAAAATAGTTCTTATTCTACTGTCACTACCCTACTAAGCAATAGGAAGTCATACAGTATGTATACATGTGCTTGGGGTACCTGGGATACTTGGGGGAAGGTGAGAGAGAGTTAAAGTATAGGGAGTGAAAGTTGCCAGAACTGGGATTAGAACCAGTGGACTAGAGAGAAGCTGCCCAAGGAACTGAGGCTTGGGGTTACTTAAGGTCAAGTGGCCCCAAGCTTACTTGAGTTCACTGGTGCAAGGGGAGTGGCAATGAGGAGACAGCCAGGAAGGAGAGAGAAGCAGAATCCTGGGAGCTGGGGCTGGAAACTGAGGCAGACAGGTGAGGGATTGGCTGGGGGGGAGACAGCCAGGAAGAAAACAGAGGCAGAAACCTGGGAGCTCAGGGGAAAAGGCAGTGGGGATAAGACAGTGCCAAAGAATCAGGGGGCTCGGAGGCAGAGAGGAGCTCAAGACAGGTGCTGGAGGTGGTGGTGAGGGAGAAATGAGACAGAAGTTAAAGGGGTGAGGAGCAGAGATTGGAGCAGGGCTGGAACCATAGGAAAGCCAAACCCAACTCAGGGGTCCAAATAACAGTTTTATTAAACAGACAACACACTACACAGCCCCATGAAGTTATTGGTTCACACACATGCACACACACACACTCACAGTGGAACCGACTTCCAAGGGAAGTGGTGCTCACTTCTGCCCTGGGGGTCTTCAGAAGGAGGCTAGCCCAGCATACTTTCCTGCCCATGGCAGGGGTTTGGACTTGATGATCTGTTCAGGTCCCTTCCGACCCTACCTACTATGAAACTGAAACTATGAAGGTTTTGTTGTTGGCTTGGTTTAGGAGGTTTCGTCTCAGCCGTTTTGTTATGTTTAATGCAATCTTGCATTTTAACCGAGACACGGATTAGTCTCAAGCCCTGAAT